TATAATGAAGACCAGTCACGTCTCAATTTTTAAACCTATCGACTACAATCTAGCTTTGGAGTTGAGTGTGACTGTCCCTTTTTATTGTATTAAAGGAATTTGAAGTGGGTGATTTTAGGAAGTGTATGTGGAATCGGTATGCAGAGCGCTAAAGTTCCTGATCACTGCAGTGTTCATTTGTAATGACTTTGTAGAAAATAAATGTGAAAAATCATTGATACTTTGACATTCATTCACTACAATCAAAACCAATTTGAGAATATGTCTGGGGAGTTAAATGTGACATGAAGGTTTGACAGTGGGCATTGTAAGCAATATCTGTGTTGAGGAAGTCAAGTTGATGATTTTGTTTTTCACTAGATTTTCCTGCTCTTTCACATCACCACTGAAGGAAGTCTTCAGTAGTGTAGCTGTTGCAGGTACTTTTTGCTGGAAGGTTTGAAGAAAAGGGTCAGAAGTTTCACGTGAGGACCAGAGAGAAAGTAGGACAGGAGACTGACAAATAATACAATGAACGGGGACAGGAAAAGCCAACGATGGGGATAAATAGTGTTAGGAAAGAGCAGGAAACTTCAATAGGAGAGAAAAAATATTATGTCTCTCTCCGTTCCTCAACATTCAGAATGAGGTGAGCTCCTGCCATTTGTGATTCATGCCAAATAGCATGAAAAATAGCAGGAGAATAAAATATCAAAAACATCTAGTATTTCAACTCTCACTTATGTTCTAGTGCTGACAATCTCATTAAAGACCTAACGACCACTATACCACTATACATTCAGGCTCTAACATGGATGAGAAAAGGGCGTTGGTCCCAAAAGCTCATCCCACCAATACATTCCCTCTGTTTAAATTATCAAAGAAATACTGTACCAAGAAGAATTTAATAAATAGTAATAATATAAAATGGCATGCTTTTGATGCTGTGCCTATAACATTGAAATGTTTACATTAGAATACATTAGAACATACAGCACAGAAACAGGTCATTCGGCCCAACTGGTCTATGGCGGTATTTATGCTCCACATGAGCCTCTCCTCCCCTTCCTCAACTAAGCCTTCAAGCATAACCTTCTAGCTAATTGCTGACAAGTGTAGTATTTTTTAGGCAAAATTATAAATAAAACAAAAAACAAAACAAAGATACCAGGATCAGCACACAGTCCTAAAGTGTTGGAAATTTACAGAACAGAAGAAAGCCATTCAACCCATTGTGTCTGTGCTGGCTCTTTTAAAAACCAATCCTTTCAATTCCATTTTCCTGCCCTTTACTCATACCCCTGTAGCTTACTCTTTTTAAGGTTATTGTGATACATAGTGAGCCTGTAAATAAGACACTCAAGTAATGACCTTTTATAGAATGTTGCTAAAGGTTTTAGGTATCTAAATACTGCAGGCACCCTTGTAAGAACATCTCCCATTTTAGCTCAGCTTCATTTATAGGGCTGCTGTCCTGTGAAGCTAATTGGAAACAAGGTATATGCAGCTTCCAACGCTGACTAGCAAGTTTCCTTAGCTTAAAAATATTTTCAGATTTAAAAAAGCAGTCTGCTTCCTCAGCCAGGTGGGTCCAAAGTATTCAAAAGCACTGTTATTGGCAAACCAGCTGTTACTATTAGACTCACAGAGTGAATGTCGCATGGATCCCACATAAAACTCAAAATTAATAGTCAAGTAATTTGTTTGGAAAATAATCCTATATTAAATGATCACCTTGCAGTGTACTCAATGCTCTGAGATGCTATCCTGCATGAAGCGTGCTGTTTAAATGCAAGTTATTGTTGGGAGCAATGTAATAGGAACACGTTCAGAATGCAGGTTTGCTTGTAAGAAAGCCAAGGTTTCTCCACAGAAAAAGAGGGAAAAGAAGAGCACCAGTCAGTATAAAAGGACAACCGTAAATGCAGTCAATTTATAGAATTAATAAATTCTTTGGGAAAAACAACGCTGTCACACTCCAGTATAATGTGACATTCATTGAATGGAAAGCGCATCAATTGGAGTACTTTTAAATAGTTAATTAGTTGGCAAATCCTAGAGGATAGCACAAAACTGAACATCTCATGTAGAATCCATAGCAACAGGTTCAGGAAAGACCAGTGTTGTTCATTTAGCTTGTCCTAAAGTTAAAAAAGAAAATCATTCTACATTACATTACTCATACCCTTCAATCAATTTCTTACCAAATTGATATCTAATTCCCTTTTTGAATTTGCCTTCATAATCTGCCTCCACCTGTTAGTCTATTCACAACAAATCTGCGGAAACAATACTTAAGTGAACGAGTAGTAAATGTATGGAACAGGCTCCCTAGGGAGACGGTGGAGGCTGAAAGTGTCAATTCTTTCAAAAACAAATTAGACAGATTTCTGTTTGGAAATAATATCTCGGGATACAGTATATAGTTTGGAACATATGCATACGACTGCCAAGATGGTGGAACTGGATGAACCTTGGTCATTTTTCGTCTAGCAATTCTTATGTTCAATGCCAGTATTCATAACTGATATCCAATCTATTAGCAATGAATTAGTATATCCTAAGGTATATCCTGTGGGCTTCCCTAATCCCAATATGGATGTATGTGACTCATTCACATTGTTTACAACAAGCAAGTCTCTCAGTTGCACCACTTGTATGCTCTACAGAAATAGCTCACCATGCTAACTTCCAAAATCAATCCAAAACCTTCCATCCATTTGAGATAGATTTGGCTATCCTCCTGGGAGAGGGGGGAGGTAAGTGGGATCTCCTTGGAGTTGAGCTGGCTCCAAAGCGAGGTGATTAGCCACAGAATGCCAACATCAAGTCAACGCTCTGTGATGGTCTTGGAAGTTTGGTTACTGTGCCATGCACATCTGCAATACTCCAAGGTACTGCTCATAACAAACCAGTCAACCTGGGCATTCAGCAGGATATGGAATTGCAGGCCAGTCATTGGGGACAGGAATTCTTCTCACTCAGCAACTATAAACCCTGCAAGCCAAACCCTAACAGAATAGGGTGGTCCTAGCTGAACAAGCAATGTGAATCTTGCCAGACAGCGCTTTCAATGTCGAGCTATGTTATTTTAGCTGATTAAACTCTCGCAGTACCCAACATACACTGTGGTGTTCCCAGGCCTAGCTCCAGCACCACATTCCCATTGCCCAGACCAGTCTCCTTGTTCCTTTTTGGAAGGAGGCTGCAAATGTATGTTGTAAATATGGGCAGTTTTGACCTGTGAAGTAGTACCCTATAGGAACTCAATTCAGATGGGTCAATGTCATTCTACTTAAGCCCCTTACAATTGGCTGACAAAGGAAGCTTCTATCGAATAAGTAAGGGCTGAATTCAAGCTCAGGTACCACAAGTTAAACAACACAATGGGAACTATTTTTTCATTATCACTAGATATTAATGTTTTTCTTTCTAAAATTACTGAGGCGACAGTTAACAAAACTGAGGTATAATTTCTGGACATTTTAAAATGTATTATCTCACTGTCAAAGTACAAATTGACTGTGACAGCTGTGTTTTTTGCTGTCTTTTCCCATTTTCTGTTTCTTCGAAAAGAAGGGTTTTCTAATATTCAGGTTGCTAATGGATCCCAAAAGTTTCAAAATGGTGTTTCATTTATACAGCAAATACTGTACATCCAATATTGATGAGCCAGTCTGGCTGACATTTGAATGCATGGCTTTGCTGCATTGTCGGTGGTGCTGTTCTTCAGATGAGAAGTTAAACCCAGATCCCATCTGCCTTTTCTGGTGGACGATAAAGATCCCATGGCACCTTTTACCAAGGGTATTTCTCCTGGCCAACAATTATCCAGCCAAAAAATGATCATTCACATCATGGCTACTAGAGGGACATTTGCGTGCAAATAGGCTTCTGAGTTTCCATAAAATCCCTACCTTTTATAATAAAGCGCAGGAAGCAGTTTTGAGACCTTTAGATAATGTGATATCAAATACAAGGATTATTACTATTTATTATTATCCAGTTATTCAACTTGTAAAGCCAAATATTATCCTCCCTGATAAGACAGTAATGTCTTTCCAAATACTTTTTGCACTTCCTACTTCTCGACAGGTAAGCTTTGCCATAATTCACTCTATACAGATTATATTTGTAACAATTTATTTATCTTGATTAAAAGTCACACTATATTAAATATATTCTGGATGCCACAATGTGCAGTTTGCATTTAAGGAACATATGGATATATCTTGAAATTTGCATATATTATATAGTATAATGTTGTTGTGTTGTTGTTGTAGTATAATGTATATAGTACAAAGTATATAATAGAGCATATATAGTATAACATATATAGTATAACAAATATACAACAACAACAAGATTACATTTGTATAGCGCCTTTTACGTCGGGAGGACGTCCCAAGGCACTATAGTACAACATAAGCAAATATATCCTTGTGATTTATATTGTATCACATTGAAAGGGCACCTCACAGGATTTACTGTAAAGTCTAGTGACTGTATATATTCCAGGTGAATGCAGCAACCAATTTGTTCACAAAACTGTAATACTGATGTTTCCAGCCAACATTAGCCATTCTTACAACTTGTTGTTCAACAGTGTTACAGAGAGAGCTCTGAAAGCACAACATAACGTAATACATACCCCACAATCTGAATATGGGAAAGGAAGGGGAAAGGCAGCGGGATAGAAGACTCTCGTTGACCATCCATGTATATTAAAACTGATCCATTTCGATCTCCATTCCTCATCCTTAACTGAGAATATCTGACTTCCAATGCTACAAATACCTTATATACTAGCCTGCCAGTACTTATTAACAACCGCTGCAACAGCAAACAACTCATTTTTGTATGGAACTCCCTTATTGCTATGAATGCTGTGCTATGCATTTGCTTCAGCAGGTTCTCATGTTCCTTTGTGGCAGTGTTTAAGAATTTATGCAGCACAAATGTGTGGGTGAGACCAGGATTTTGGAAGGAATGTGAAAAACTGTAATTTAGAAAAGACTTACTTATTCCAAGCTTGCCTAAGCTTTTTGGGACTGTACTGGGTGAAGCGATCTGTAAGGAAAAGGAAATAGATTATGTTGTTTTCAGCCTATTAACTTAATCACAGTAACACTACTGGGAGTACTTTTTACATAATTCAGAGACAATTTAGAAATAATGAAAACGGAGTTAAAATGAACATAACTATTTATTTACTTTTTTAAAAAATAATATTTTTTAAAAAAACAGTGGTTTACACAGGTAATTAACAAGTGTGATGAGCAGAAGATCCTGGATGTGAAACTTCAAACAGGATTTAACTGTACATCTGTGCTGGTTTAATTCAGCAGCTTTAATTAACAGACGTATTTGCCATCAGTGGCATTCTGTATGTAAATCTGACTAATTTATCCTGCAGAATTTGTCTGCAACAGATGCAGATGGATTATCAAATCATGACTATGCTATGTGTCCAGCTATTTATTCATCGTTGTTTTATTCGTCCCCATTTATGTTCCCTCATTACAGTTTTTACTACTCTAAATTTGGCATTTCAGTGAAATCCGTAATTAAAGTAATTAATGGAAATAGCCATTAAATTATTACTTAATCAGTAGCTTTGTCACACTCGAGCAAAGACCAAATTGCATGAAGACAAAAGGCCAAGTGAATCGTAAACCACACACAGACCAACCGTGAGCCAAATATTTCTCATATTCTAAGGCTTAAGATGTTTATTATATAAAAAAAAGTTTAATACTGTGTGGAATTTTGGAACTCAGTCTAAAGATAGAAGCTGATTTTTAGGATGTGCAGCATATGAGGGCTCACTTCTTTGATTATTGAGAAATAAAATGTTAATAGATTCAGGGCGAAGAAGAAATATAGAATTATATAGAATATTACAGCACAGAAGCAAATCAATCAGCCCAACTAGTCAGTGTTTATACTCCACACAAACCTCCACCCTCTTAATCCCTTCTCCTATATCTCTCTGTTCCCTTCTCCCTCTCTATACATCAAGTTTCCTCTTAAGTTCGTTCATACATTGTGACTCATCCACAGCTTTGGACAGTGTGTTCCACATTCTCACCACTTTCTGCATAAAGTGCATATTTTACTCCATTAACAAAGCGTTTCAGAGCATGTAGAATTTAGCAAATTGTTTAACTTGAGTCTTAACTCTGAAGCCGGTTTTGTGTAGTTCTTCAAAGAACTTACAGAAAACCCGGCTTCAAAGCTAAGGCCGTATTTAAGAATTTGACAAACTCTAGATTCTCTGAAATAGGGTAAATTTAAACCTGTTGTTAACACGGCTGTGAATACACTGGGAGTAATGAGTGTTTAGGGATGGAAGTGATTTTTTGATCTTGGGGTGGGGGTGTTGGGAATGCCTCCACTGACTCCTGGTCCTGTTGGTTTGTGTTGCTGCCCTCAGTTGACTATTGCTGGATTATTTCCCTTTCTGTTGTAGTCTGCTTTCTTCTCCTGGGAGTGGGTTGGTGTTGTGGGCTTGTTCCCAGTGAGCCTGAAATTACTCTGACAACAGAGCCTTATCAAGCAAAACAAAACACGAAATATCTGCCTCTTACAACAAGATCTACTGGTGTGGAAAATATTATTGCAGCCTCGGTGGAAGCAAATGTTACAAAGAATTACAGTGTAACGTGAAAGTCTCTGTGGGGGTGTCCCTCACGGTCCACGACTTTCAACTGGTTAAAAAAAATCCCCAGAAACAAACCGATTTTATTGATGTAAATATCCTTTGATGAAGTTAGATTTCCCTATCTACTGCTGTGTCAGGTTACCACAGCAAATAATCTCCAGGAAGGTCAACAGGTTTCACACTAAGCCACTGATCCTCAGATGAAAGCACTTCATTACTCTACGTTCCTGCAAATATGTGTGGCTGACCTTAAGCTACAATGCTGAACTTAGGTTTTCAGCGGATTCCATTTAAAATTCATCAGTGTAAAGAAAAGCCAACAAGTAAACCTTTCCGAGCACTGTGCGGCATTTGTTATTTTCACTGGGGTTTTGTCAGCATGGAGGCATTTTAATGATTATGTTTCCAATGTCTCAGCAAATAAGGCTGCTTACTCAGATATTAACATAATTTGATTTCGCTGTTTGGAAATTAAATCCCTGACAAAATATATTTTCAAACCCCCGAGTGATTCAACGTTTCCGTTGAATTGAAAAAAAAGGACAAACAAATTAATAAATGCTTTCATTTTCCAGGTACAGGTTTCTCAGTCACACAAGCTTAAACCAAGTTGCCAACACTTCTTTAATAACATGGTCTTTTAGTTCATCAAGCTACATAGCGTGGCCCCAGTTGAATATGCCCCAGTTGTGCATGGGTTTGCTTAGAGAACTTGAATATTGTGGAGCGAAAGCATTTTTGACGTTGGCTAGTTGGCTTCCTGCATTAAAAGATGGCCAGATCGTCAAGTCACCACTGATGTCCTGTGCATTGCCAGGAAGTGATGTCAGTATGCACACTATGCCCAGGAAATGCTGCTGAAGTCACTTCCTGCATGCTGTGCATGTGTGCTCGGTGGAGGAAGTGACACTATCATTACTTCCTGCACATTGTGCAAGCACACTTAGTGAAGGAAGTAATGTCAGTGATGCTTCTTGTGCAGCACATAGGACCTATAAAACCATAGCAATTTGCAAACCAGATGTTGGGATGTACCAAAGATCAATAGCAAGTCAAAATAGTGGGGTAATCTTGCCATGTATGATTCATTGATGAGATCATACTTAGAGAATGGTGTACAGTTCTAGTCGCCGCAGTACAAAAAGGATATTGGAGAAATCGAGAAGATACAGAGAAGGGCAACCAAAATGATTGAGGGAATGGAGGGACTCGACTATGAAGAGCGACTAAGTAAACTGGGCATGTTCACGCTGGAAAGGAGAAGATTCAGAGGAGATATGATTTCTGTCTTTAGGATTCTAATGGGGCAAGACAGTATAGATCATGACGGGCTGTTTCAACTAGTCCAGAATAGTAGAACCAGAGGGCACTGCCTGTGATTGAAGGGGGTAAATTTAGAGCGAATCTATGCAAACACTATTTCAGTGAGTGAATAGTGAACCTGTGGAACAGGCTCCCTAGGGAGACGGTTGAAGCAGGAAGTGTTGATTTTTTCAAGCACAGAATAGATAGTTTTTTTTAGGAAATAACATTATGGGATATAGTACATAGGTAGTTTGGGACATATGTGCATGCGACTGCCAGGAAGGTGGAAGGTGAACTAGATGGACCTTGGTCTTTTTTCATCTAGTATTTCTTGCATTCTTATATTATGTTCTTATGTTGACACAGAAGAAGATCATTTAGCTCATCATGTCAGGGCTGGATTTTTGAAATAGCAACCACTCAGCCCCATCTATCTCCCTTTTCCCTATACTCCTGTTGATCATTCCGCTTCTGACATCTATCTAGTTCCTTCTTGAACCCGAACCTGGCTAAATTGGTAGTAATCTCACCTGGAAGTCATAAGATTGTGGGTCTGACTAAGTCCCACACAGATTTGAACTCACAGTGTGGGCTAACACTCCAGTACAGCGCTTGGGAAACACATTGTCAGAGTTGTTGTCCTTTTGGATAAGACATTAAACTGAGGTTCCATCTGCGTGTTCAGATGGAATTTAAAGACCCTACAGCACTATTCAAAAAGAAAGAGGTTTTCTCTTGGTGTCCTGGCAATCAGGTAAGATTGGTCATTGTGGGTCACTGTTTTGTATAAATTGACTGCTGTTCTATATAAAAAGTGCATGGATTACTTACTGTTATTATGTTAGAATTTCCTTTGGAAATCGAGCACCTTGGTGCTAAAAAGGCGCTATATAAATGCAATTTGTTGTTGGTGTTGATTTAAACAGAAAATTGCCTCAGTAATTTAAATATCTCGGGTCAAGTCCATTATAAGTGGTTGGTGAAAGGACTTTGATGGGCCAAATTGTAGTTTCCCCTTCCTTGTTTTGTAAAGGAAAAAATAATGTTAAAGAGTATGAAATTGAATCAAAGTAGATAGCTCCAGTGGAGAGCTATCACCAGCACAGACAGAATGGGCCAAATGGTCTCCTTCTATACTGTAATGATTCTATAAATCTTATGTTCTCAATTACTGGTGACACATGAAACATCTTGTAATGGTTGGGCGGAAGCCATGAACCCCTGCTGATGACTGGAGCAAAGAACTAACGCAGTAGCCCAAGGGTAATGTTGTATATCAGCATGGAAAAGAGAGGGATGTGTGATGGATGTAAGTAACAATAGTAAAATGTCTTAAATGGGAAGTTAGCTTGTATGTAGAATATTGAATGAGGAATAAAGACTTAAATGTTTTACGCAACTAAACTGCTTTTACATTGCACTACATTACTATGCCAGAATCACAGAGTTTAGTCGTAGTACAAAGACAAAACTTCAGTATTATTTTTTAAAATGTCATACTTCTATTAAATCCATGAGAACTAATAACAGATTTAATTTACAAATACACCTTTTTTAAAAAAATATTTAATTTACAAATGCAAACAACTTTTTTTTATTTAAAAAAAGCTGCCAAATTACCAATTTACTTGAATCTAAATTATTGGCAAATTTGGGGTTTGTGGAAGAAAAGGGAATTTTGCAATTACTGCCATTTCCAAGGTGCCATCTTCTTTAAGGTACACCCTAATTTCAGGACACATTTTAAATGAAAAAAGCTTATGCCTCAGAATTATGCAATAAATTACATGCCATTTACAAATGAAATGTAATATCAGTGACTGTCAAGTCTCATCCACTTCTCGAGCTGTGAGGTTTTAAAGGAGAAGCTGGGATCTACTGCCACCTGCTGCTATTAAATTGAAATATACAGTACGCTGTTATTGTGTATGTATGCTGTACCTTTTCAAAAAAAATCTCCTCAGCTCAATTTTCTCACCTCGGCTGATAGAAATTACAGTATAGGAGAGGCCATTGAGTCCATCAAGCCTAAACTGGTGCTGGGTGGAAGGTCATTAACTGGAGTTCATTACTACTGTTTAGATATCCTAGTTTCCTCTTAAAAAGCTAATACACAACCTGACCACTATATCCAGCATTGCATTGCCCATAATCCGACTTAATCTCCCCCTCTCCTCCTTTGCTAACTATCTTAAATTGATGCGTTCTAGTCACTGACTCACAAGCCAATTGAAATAATTTCTCTCCATCTCCTCTAACAAAATCCCTCTGAAGGCTTCTTTCCAGTATGAGGGGTAGATTGTGGGTTTCCTGTAACTCAGCCATAATGCTCTGCCAGTTTCCATCAGGATTTCCCATTAGTAACTCAGAGTCGCTATTAGTGAATCCCTTTGAATACCACTGCTTTTTTGATGCCAATATTTAACTGGTTTGTATCAGCAGCCAACTCTTCAAAGCATCATTTGTTTAAAACAAAATACAAAAGCACACTTTTGATATATTTTGAAATTCTATGAGGTTTACCTGGCTTGAAATGTGGTAGAGACTCAACTCCGGACCAGGATTCCTCTGTTGGAGTGCCCAGCACCTGATAGAAATAAAGATTTTTTAAAAAAATTAAAAACACATTATAAATGATGTTACAGAACAGAAGCAGGTCCGTCGGCTTAACTAGTCTGCTGCTAGTGAGTTTATACTCCACGTGAGCCTCCACCTCTCCTATTCTCTCCCTTTTCCCTCATGTGTGCATCAAGTTTCCTCTTAAATATACTAATGCCTTTTGCTTCAACCACAGCTACCAACAAGAGTCCCACTTCTAACCACCCTCTGGATAAAATGAGTTCCTTCTAAACTTCCTTTCAGATCTGCTATTGGCTAAATTATATTATGCTCCCGTCATTTTGAACTCACCAACAAGTGGAATCAGTGATCAACATCGACCTTATCAAATCCTTCCATAATTTTAAAACTCTATCAGATCCCCTTTCAGTCTTCTCCTCTCCAGAGAGAAAAGCTTCAATCTGTCAAATCTTTCTTGATAACTGTATTCTTGTCTTGATAACTCATCAATCAATAGTATTCCCCAGCACACACTTTGTGACACAACATTAACAGAATTTTTGGAACCAAATTTATTCACACATATGCTAACTCTGCTGTCATCTGAAACCTGTCAATCTGTCATTCTAGCACTGAAGAAGTTAGAAACAAAAATCACAGAAAACTTACAGCACAGAGGAAAGGCATTTGTTCCAATACTACAAGTAGCAGTTCCCCCTATTGGAGACAATCTCCTCTAATTCCGTTCCCTTTACCTTTTAATATTATTGTATCTCAACTGTTTATCTTTTTAAATTCTGTTATGGATTTTGATTCCCTGGCCATTCATGATAAATCATTCTGCAGTCTAACAATCCTCTGTATGTAAAACATCTTCCTAACTACTTCTTTAATTCTGATAATCGTGTTAGTGACTCAACGATCAATGGAAAAAAACTGTTCTTCACTTAACCTACCAAAACCATTCACAATTTTAAAAATACTATTAGATGCCCTCTTGATCTTCTCTACTGTAGTGAACTAGATTGAATTTAAGTCTATTCATGTAACTCTAAGCTTTGTTTGTCATTCATTGTGAATCTCAACTGTACCCTCTTCGTTGCTGCAAGTGTCCTTTCTACAGTGAGTTTGGAGCCAATATGTCAACTGCGATCCAACCAATATCTTATGCAAACTTTAACATTACCTCCTTGCTTCTGTATTCAAATCTAGAATTCTATTTACCTTTTGATGCTTAAGGAATGACCTGTTCAGTTTCAGCGTATCACTCACAGCAATGCACTCTGCACTATGAATTCCTATTCATTTATAGAATAATAGATAGAGTCTATCTATGGTTATCTGCAGCTGTAAAGGGTTTGAGCTCAAATTATTCAGCTTTTTCTTATATGAGATAAAAAATTCAGTGATTTCAGCTACAGAAGTATTGTTAGGAACCTGACCAGAATATTGTAATAAAGATAAAAGAGCTAAAAATGGAAATAAACCAATGTGGCTCTCACCCCAATCTCTTAGTTGAATCGATAACCTTCATACAACGAACAGCAGTTGAAAAATTGTGATGTGAGCTCAAATAACTTTCAAACAGAAAGTTTTTTTTCAAATGAATTAAAAATCTCTTTAATTTTTCCCCTTCATATACCATCCACGAGGATGGATTATAGCCATAATGACTAGGCGTTTATGGAAAAACACCTATTTACAAAATAATGTAACACAATGAAAAAAGTGCCAATAAGTGCTATACAAATTGTCTTTTAGAAAATGACGTGGAGTAGATGACGAGATAAAAGCAAAGCATATGTGAATATCCAAGGTCACAAATGGGATTTTTCTTACAGTAACCCATATATTGCTCCTAACCTCAGTTCTGCTGGAAGGAATTTATTGGCTGTTGGGGAGGCGGGAGGGGGGAGAGCTGCCCCTGAGAGACTCGTAGCCAGGAAACGAACATCATTAGTGGAGATTTTCTGCTGTGGTTTACTGAGAAATAATAATAATAATAATCCTTGCATGTAATATAGTCCCTCACCAGCACCACCTTCTTCCACCTCTGACGCATCGCCCATCTCCACCAATACCTCTCTACGAAAACTGCTGAAACCCTGGTCCATGCCTTTGTCACCTCTCGGCTGGACCATTCTAACGCCCTCCTCACCGGTCTCCCCTCCACTGCCATCCATAAAATCCAGATTATTCAAAACTCTGTCGCCCGCATTCTCACCCGCACCAAACTCCGCTCCCCGATTATCCCAGTCCTTGCCAGACTGCACTGGCTGCCTATCCCAGAGAAGATCGACTTCAAGGTCTTCACCCTTGTCCTCAAATCCCTCCACTCCTCTGCACACCCCCTTATCTCTCTGACCTCCTCTCTCCTCAAAACAGTGCCTGATGCCTTCATTCCTCTGGGTCTGGCCTCCTCCTTGTCCCAAGTCCTCCGCTCCACCCTCGGCGACCGTGCCTTCAGCCACTATGCCCCGAGGCTCTGGAACTCCCTTCCTCACTCCCTTCGCCTCACCCCCTCTCTTCCTATTTTCAGGTCTCTGCTGAAGACCTTTTTTTCCGACCGCGCCTTTGATCACCTTCCTCCCCCTCGCTCGGCCCCGGGATCCGTTACTGTGAAGCGCTCTGAGACGCCATCCGGCGTGGAGGATGCTATATAAATCCACGTTGTTGTTGCCTTATCACGCCTATTGAACATCAAGTTTTGGATGAAAGCTAATTTTTCTCAGTTGAACTTCAACAAGACCGAGGCTCTCCTGATTGGCTCCGTCAGCACCTCCTCATCTCAGGCGCTGACAGCATCACCATCCATGGATGCACACTCCACCTTGCTAAGCCAGTCCGAGACCTTGGTGTCTTGTTTGACCCTCAACTATCCTTTCTACCCCACATCTGCGCCATGACTCGCCCTGCCTTCCCCACCTCCACAAGGTCGCCCGGCTCCGCCACTGTCTCACACTGCAGGCCACTGAAACCCTGATACACGCTTTCGTTACATCGAGGATGGACTATGCAAACTCCTTGTTTGTCGGCCTCCCCAACTCTTCCCTCAACAGGCTGCAGATCATCCAGAACTCTGCAGCCTGTGTCCTCTCCTGCACCAGGGTCCATGACCCTATCACTCCCATCCTTGCTCGACTCTACTGGCTTCCCATCACACAGAGGATACAGTTCAAGATCCTGTTCCTCACCTTCAAAGCCCTCCATGGTCCTGCTCTCTCCTCCCTCTGCGACCTCCTAATCCCCTACCATTCTGCTTGCTCCCTCCGATCAACGGGCTCTGGCCTGCTTCAAATTCCCCACCTCACTCACCCCACTATTTGCAGGCGGACCTTCTGCCCCTCTGTCCCCACCCTCTGGAATTCCATCCCATAGTCCCTCCATCTCGCCCCTCCCTTGCCTCCTACAAGACCCATCTCAAGACCCTCCTCTTCGACTGCGCTTTCGATCTCCCTGCTTCCCCCCCTGCCCTCCATCCTCCCCGACTCCCAGCTCGGGTCCGAAATTCTGTCTGTCCAGGGTCTTGGGACATTCTCCTGATGTGAAAGGCGCTATACAAATGTAATTTTGTTGTTGTTTTCTAGATGTCTCAAAGCACTTCACAGAATATACTGTGAAGTGAATTAACTTTATGTTTTGTGGGTGAAATGTGGCAGCCATTTGCGCATAACTGTGTTCCACAAACAGTCGTGAATTGAGTGACCAAATTATTATAATTTTTTTATTGAGGGGCCAATAAGGAAATTGCTAAGGAGTAATATTTTGATGTAATATGTATTATTTGAATTTGAAATGGATGCATTCAAATATTCCTATTTGAAAATAAAAGGCAAACTTAGAGAAATTAGAAAATAATAGAATATATAGATCACTACAGCACAGAAATAGACAACATAGAAAGTTAAGTAACACACAGCAGAGGCCTGTTCTAAGTGTTCAAAAGTGTCACCATGAACACTGAAAATTTTCTAGCAGAATAACAATTGTGTCCAAAATGATCAAGAGCAAAATTCAGTTCCTGACTACTTTAAATATTGTTGGTTAGTTGAATAACTACCTGCAATTTTTCATTAAGATGTATTTTTCCTTTTTGCTGTTCTTCACTCATACTGCACCATTTCACTGAGAACAAAGACAGGGATCTATTATTAAGTAAACACCACATGTAGAGTAGCGTTGTGGCCTTTAGAGGGAGCCTGTGCACTATTTAAAAATCCCAAACCTCACGTCCCCTCACTGCTGTCCTGTACAAATGTACGATGTCAGTACCTTAACATTCTGGTAAGTAAATGTATCAATCTATTATTTCATTGACAGATAATAGGCACAGGGTTACAACCAATCTTAAATGTGGAAAAAGTCCAAATTTGATTTTACTGCAATTTATCACTAACCAGTTCCTTTCCCCTCAAGCGTTTTCTTTTTCTTTCACTCCTTTAGCAAACTTATTTTTGGGTTTATTAACAACGACCTGCATTTATATTGTGCCCTTCATGCGTGTCTCAGAGGCCTTAACAGTAGTGGAACTTGATCCTGAGCTATGGACAGAGGGAATCTTCCTCTTGTTGAAGAGAAAAGTCATGCCTTTCAGGTGTGATCTGAAGACAGGCAATGAGAAGGCAAGGCAGAAGGATTGAAACAGAGTCCCAGAACTCTCGAGATTAAGTATTGGGGAAAGATACAATACACATACTTTTCAGTTATGAGAAATCTGATCTTTGTAAAACTTGAAGTGTACAAACATGTGAATGGATTATATAGCTGGTATGTTTTTCTGTTGTGGGAGTTAATAAAACCACCTTAACTTCAAAAGGTGGAAGATATCTTAATTTAAAGAATGAAGAGCATAAGATCATAAGATCGGTTTGAATGAAAAAGGCCCTGATCTCAACCCTCCAGAATACACGCACTCCCATCCTCCCATCACAGAACCAATCTGCAGTTTACAAATCTTAATTTTTATAGGAACAGGAGGCAATATGTTGCGGGGCTGGAGGAGAAGCCGTTTGTGGAGATAAAGTGGAG